TCCTTGGACTCGAACTCTGAACTGCGGAAGGGCACTCCAAAAGACCCGGAAAGGCAAGGCCCTCCCCTTAGAGAAAACCTTGTCATTGCAAAGGGGTACACTTCCAGGTTTGTTTGAACGCGAATACTTCTCGGAAAGCCTCAACCACCACCACCACCACCACCACCACCACCACCACCACCACCACCACCACCACCACCACCACCACCACCACACACATCCTGTCTATGTATGTTACTCTGCTTGCCAGGGGTGTTGTGCAGAATTGCGGGCATGATAGCAGGGCTTCTGTGTTGCTCTTAATTTTCTACCATGACTGCCAGTGACACCCCGAACCTCCTCGCATTTCTGGATGGCTCTTGGGGCAAACGTGAATCCCCGATCTACAATCCGTTGGGCACGCTACAGGGGAAACCGCCAGGATCTGGCAAATGATTCAGGATTCTGGTTGAACAAACTGCGTTTGGAATCTAACATGGTAAAAGCAGTTTGCAGACAAGGGCCCCATGGTGACCCGCTCTCGCAAATGAAAAGGGGTGCCTTTCAGCAAAACCCACCATGTACATTTGGGTCTAAGCACTGGAGACCCCCAAAATAGCGCAAAATAGTGGCTTTCCTCTCGTTTGCCTTTACAACCCACCCAACAAATGGTACGAGGCAGATCATGTCTCGCCCCATTGGTCACATCCAACTGACCAAGCCACTGGGCACTGGGGTCTAGGACTCCTCCTCCGTTTGGGCAAACAAAGCTAGCCATGTTCGTTTCAGCACCTCAGATGTTAGGAATCTGCAAGTTACGTTGACCATGGTTACAAAGGGACCTTCCGGTTGTGACCCTTCAAGCTCGTTCAGCGTTCCTTTAAGCAGAGCGTCTTCTTGGAACAGCACCAAAGGAAAAACGCCTTTTTGGGACCGACGACTGCAACTCTACCCCTGTCCCTTCACAAAAAGAGTTCTGTTCCTTGAAATCGCCTAAAATTGTTCACGATCCCTGGAAGTTGCGAATCGAAGGATGTTCATCTCACTGCCTCTAGGTCCCCCCGTAGTGCCCTTTTCTCCCACTTTTTTGGGGGAGGGTTCCCCTACTAAAATAGACCACCGCAAAAATTGGGTTTTCCCTGACTCGAACCTCTCAAATCTGGAGGGCCTGGGTCTAAATCGCTGCGACAAGCCACCGGAAGCCACTTGTCCCAAGCCCACCATGTCCTTCCGATGTGTGGCAAGGATACTTCCCATCCAAATCCGCACGCGGTTTCCCGCCTAAATCCCGCGGGTTCGTTAAAAATGCCGCAAAGCCCTTGGCAATCCCACCCAATATTCCATATCCCTGGCGTTTTTTTTTTGGAAAAAGGGAGAATGACGAAGGGGTGCGAACCGCCGAGGGAAGCTCTCAAAATCTAGGAGAAAATCTGGAAGTCACTGGAATGTAGTTTCCAGCTGGGAGTCGACTCCCTGGAAGCTGGAATTCTCAGGGAGTCGCCCTTTACAAGAGAAAACTGGCCCTGAATACACCCCCCCAGTTACAATAATCAGGGTCCCCTCACAAAGGAATTTGCACCAAAAAGGGACCCTGATCAACTCTTGCGTGGTTTCATCACTGATCTGGCTGTGGGTCAAAAATAGGTACCCAAAATGGAACGCTGGTAAATGGAAACACTGGTGGTTTAATACTGACACACACACACACACACACATCTGGGAGCCCCAATCTTGATTGCTGTTGGGTTGGATCTTTAGACTTCAACTTTTTGGGGAGTCTGGGGGTTTTCCACTAGACCTGCAAGAAGTCAAACTTTTTGCCGAGGGGTCAACAGCAACCAAGCAATGTCATGGATGGATTGCAAGGAGTGCGAGGGCATCGCCTACGACGCCGTCTGCCGCCCCGTCTGTGCCCCGGGCTTCGTGGCCGAGGCGGAGATCTTTCGCTGCGCCGCCTCGGGAAGCTTCGAGGGGGCCATCAGCTGCCGCGCACAGAGCTGCGCCGCGGCGAGGAAACAAATCGTGAGTCCAGGGGCCCGTGGTTTCAGGTGAGTCGGTTTTGCGTTGGTTTTCCATGGGATGGTAAAGGGACACCGAAACACATGCGGCCCATTCGGACATCGATGTTTGGAGGGTACCCATGTTTCACTTTTCCACTTGGTTTCAGATCCGCTTCGCGAGGTCCACAAGGGACCCTTCTGACTTTCAGGTCGAGGGATCGAGGCGTTTCTTGTAGCAAACCACCCGGAAGCACCTCCAAAATCATCCGAAGCACCAAGAGGGAAGCTGGTTTTGGTGGGGTTCGCCTGGAGGCGACATGCGTGCACTTAGTCATTCCCCTTGCCTTGTCTGGGGTCTCCAAAGCTATTTTAGGGTGGACGAAATTTGAAGCATAATCTGAACATATGAGTATCCGAGAAACTCATCAATAGTCTTCGGTAGTATTTGGGGCACATTGCGGTTGGCAAACTCAGCCAAAGCCCACAAAACCCAAAGGGGAGCACCCAAAACCGATACCTCCCCCTTTGCAAGCTCCTTTCTGAACTCCAGCAGGCTCAATGAAAAGGAAACTCAAATACAGCAATAGAAGAAACACGCCGAACCTCAAATCGAATCTCAAAAGGACGCTCCAGCAATGTTGAGGAAGCATTTTAAGCTCAGGATTGGGCCGAGAAATGCTAAGCAAGCTGAAAGCCAAGCGACCGCGCCCAGGAAACATATGTTCGTGGGTCTCCATTGTTTGAGAGGTGGTCATTGCCCTTCCGTCCACTGACATGGAGTCTCGTCCCGCATTTTTGGGGTACACAGAACATCATAGCGCGGAATATCCTGAACGGACTCAATGGAAGGAAGTTGGGTGGTCTATAGGTGTTTAGTGCTTGGAGTTGTCTTTTGTTGTTTGAGTTTCCATTTGATATTATATATTGCTGGAGCTTCCTAAGATGTTATTTTGGCTTATTGATTTAGCGGGTTTTTTGAATCGAAACCGGAGAGGATTTCCACCGACTTTATTAAGGGAGGAAATCATGGTTAGAGGAGTTGTAGTTTGATTAAATTGAGCCACTAGAACTGAGTACAATAGAATTTCTGCTTGGCTTAGTGTTGCTCTGGTGTTGGTTTTCATGTCTGTGCTGATTGTTGATTGGTGTGGCCGATCTTTTTCTCAGGAGATAACGAGGGAATGAGCCTTATACCTCGTGGTGTCCTTTAAGGGAATCCCTGGGTTCATTCCCTCATTCCCTACTGAGCACCAGCCACAAATCGTCATGTCTGTTTTTCCTGGTACCCCTCGGTTGACGCCAAAAGGAAGGCCGACATTTTGGGTCCGAATCCCCAAAGCTGACACACAAATGTATACCCTCCCCCCAGCTAACACGGAACTACTTTCCTCTTGGAAAGGGGCTTTTTGCACTTCCATGTTAGTTGGTGGGAGTGTAGCCAAGTATCCGACTAACTAGGTCCCCCAGTGGTGCCCTTTTATTTTTTTGGGTTGGGAGGGTTCCTCTACTCAGATAGACCACAGAAAAAAAAGGGTACCCTTATTCTAACCTCTCTACTGGAGGACCTAGCCTTGAGCTTTTTCTGGAAGCTTCTCATGGAGTGCCCGAGGCCCCGTGCCGCCAGCGCCCTCTGTGGGAACTCTGCTGAGCTGCGGGTCCAAGCAGGGGGACCTTTGTGAGGCGCAGAAGAAAGGAAAAGTCGCACGGCTGGATCCATTCAAATGGGTTTTCCTCCATTCAGGCTTTTCCTCCAGTGGCTTTCCATTCAACTGGTTTCCTCCATTCAAGGAAACTGGCCGGCTTTCCTCCAAAAACCATGGAAACTGGAGTCCAAAAAAGTTTTGTCACGACCCCAGAATAATTCCTGGATTTCTGTCCAAGTGGGTTTTCCTTCAAACAAATGAAACTGGCCCTGGCAGAAGATGTTTGGGCTACTTGTGGGGAAGTCCCTGGTTTCCACTTTCATTGTTGAAAAGAGGCTAGATTTTGAGGGGGTTCTCAAAATTATTTGGGTTTTGGTTCCTTGAAAACTGAGGTTTTAAGGGCAATTACGACCATTTCATGTTTAATCCCCTCCCCCCCCCCCCCCCGAAAACGGCAGCCGTGAACATGTCCATGAATGTAGTTGAAAGGAGCATTGCACAAGGAGGCGATTACGCTCTGCGATTGCTCAACCAGTTGGGGCGGTGGAGATGTTGTTTTGCTGTGGCAAGGAACATTTTACCCTACTGTTGACCCAGATGAATCAACCTGGCAAACGTATTCGCGTTTTGCTTCTTCTACAGTGATCGGGAATCCCGCTTGAAAGGGACCACCCTGCTTGCGAATCACCGTAAAACTCGACCGTCAACAGCCCAAGTTCTCCCTGGGCAGTTGCTTCTTGGGCACCTTGAACACCCCGCAACAAGCAAACAAGATTGCACTGTAAGTTGCACTCAAAAGAGATGCCCAATTGGATTTCTCTCAAAATAGGGAAACCTTCAAAGTACTTCAAAGTGATGATTTGCGTTCGCCCTTTCACACTGCCCCAAAGGGCCCAAAGGGTACTCAGGTACCCTCAACAAATGGACACCAAGAGAGTTTCTTTTCGGGTGTTGGCCCTTCTTTTTTAAGCAAAGCCTGGTGTCAAAGCGCAACCCTGCACCCTTTATGGTGGAAGGAAGCACCGGCCCAACTCTGAGCTGCCCTCCAATTGCCTTACGCCCAAAACACTTACAGCTGGAAGCACTGAGTTGCGGCCATGAAGTTCTCAGGTCCCTTGGCCTCGGAGCACTGAAAACTCAAAGCCCGGGACGGGTGGTTGGGCGCCCAGGTCCTGGAACACTGGTTGGGATTTGAAACCGAGGAACGGAACACATGCTTTGAAACCCACGAAATGGCCGGCTGATGACTTAGGCTGAGGGAGTTCCATGTGTTTGCCAAGAGATTGGGTCGCTTCGAGCGTAGCTCGTATGTTTCGGAGCACATGGTTGTACGTACCCATTTCTGCTGCGTCTGCTACACTTGGCCAACACTTGTTTTACTTTCCTGCAGATTAAGATGGAACCCCCAAAAACCGACTTCTTAGAAGAACCTCCTTCTTTGTTTCGATCCCTTCCTGGGTCCCTGACATGTTTTGCCAGGTGCTTTGTCCGGCTGGCTACTTCAACAACGCGTCCTACAAATGCGAGGTGAGGGAAATGGCCGCTGAGAGACACGACCCACCCCATGCCCAAGGCTCAAGGCTTGAAGGCCAACCCTGAAGCCGGCCTTAGGGCCCAGAGGGCGCCGGTTCACCCCTCATTTGGACCTTCCCAAGCTCCTGCACAAATTGGAATGACCTTACCAAGGGGTAGAACAAGCTCAGCCCGCCTTTTTCGTCAATTGACATTCCAGAGTGTGCGGACTCCAGTTGTTTTATGCATGTCGAAGCACAGGCCTGCTCGATAACTATGCTGGAACCCTCGAGACCAATTGTATAGAGCAGTTACCTACAGACGCCTACCGAGCACTCCATTGTCATCCAAATTCACCCCAACATAGAGCCTCGCAAGGTGAGTCCGATCCCTGGAGTGTATGAGCTTGACGTCTGACCTTCCGGAGCTCTGGAGCTCGAAGATCTCGATTCGTGAACTCCGAAGAGGCTTCAGATGGAATCTAAAAGCACAGCAACCGCGAGGATGACCTGCTCTGGGATGACCCTCTCGCTTTCCATCAGAGTGGCAAAGATGCGCAACCTAGCTGGAGATGCTGCTGCTTTTCATGAGGAGTCGGTGCGAGGCGATGAATACCACGGGTTAGCCTTGCCGAACTTGTGTCTCCAAGCCATGGACCTTGTCTCGCACTTGGCGGCAGTTTGGTGTTGTTTTGATACCCCTTCCAAACACCAGCCCCACCTTGTTTGCAAATGCACAGAGTTGGCCAAGAGGAATGTAAGGATGCAAAAGGCGATACATGGGCACAAGGCCAAAGGGCTTCCCAGTTCGATGGGGATTTTATCACAACACCGCGCTTCGATACAAGCATCGGCACCTTGGGAGGTTTTCCTATTAGTCAACCATGGGTTTATAAATCATGGGTTCTTGATTTCCGGTCAAATTATTTAGCTGGTTGGCTAGGCTCAGTTGTTCAGTGGCACCCTTTGTCCCCTTTTTTTGGGTGGCTGGCCCCCTAAAAATGGTCTTCCCCAAAAAGGGTTCCCTGAACAACTGAGTAGGCTATCAACAAGTTGCCCCCTCCCCCTGGACCAAGGCCGGTTGCTAGGGAACAACTTGGAACCGCTGAACTTGGCCGAAGCAGCCGCAACGGCGCACCTCGATTTGGTTGAAACCAAACGGACACCAAGCACTTTGGGGCACCAGTTTGAGAAACGAGCCTACGACCAAACACAAACCCACCCTAAATCCACCCCAAAGAAGATTCTTCCCTTTGGGCTTGCCTGAAAACCCACACCAAAAGGGGGTACCCTCAACAGCCACACCCATTTTGAGAAACCGGGCAAGCCATTCTGGGTACCTTGTTCTTGACCCACACCCATTTCGCCCCGACCCTTGGCTGCACACGGAGCTCGGCCCGAGCTCGCGCGTGCCAGGAGGGCACCTGGCAGGCGCCCTCCGCGCCCTGCGCGGAGCGGCGCTGCGCGGAGATCCCGCGGTTGGCCAACACCAACCTCTCCCTCGAGGCACTCTGAAGCAAGGGCGCTGGAGGTCCGGAAGGATGTCCCCCTTCTCAACATGTGGGTCAAAAATGGGTAGAATGGAACCCTTGGCAAAATGGACCCCAGGATTAAAACCTGATTTTTTTGGGTGGTTTAGTTTTGACCCACACCCACCTCAAAAGTGAGTGGTGGACATGAATCCCCACCTAAATGATGTCCACCAAAGGGTCCCTTATTAAGATTCATACCCACATCTACAGCCTTCAGAGGCCATGAGTTGCTCTCAACAAATGGTACATGCATGCCACAAGGGACTAGAACCGCCCATGCCAGTTCCTAAGAATCAGAGTTGGAAGCGTGCAGCTGGAGCACTCCACGCGGGGAGCGCAGTACCCAAAATGGAACCCTGGTCAATGGAACCCATGACTAAAACAGGTGCGTTTCTGGTTTAAGTTTGACCCACACCCATATAAACGCACCAAGCACGGAAAAACAAAAAGGCGCCCCGGCAGCCCATGGGCACCCAACATCCGTTCGCATCCTTTTCCCACGCCCAAGTTGGGGATTTGCAGCGCCCCTTAGTCCATCAGGTTCAGGGGAAAACGTGAATGGGAAAACCTCCCCAAAACGGTGGATGCTTGAAAACACCGGGACTAGGGATCATGGCACCAAATTGGGTCCATTTCCCGCAAGTCTACGTTCCCAAACCTGACTGGACAACATCCACCTCGCACCAATAGCTGGTGTATCCTCGTGGAGGTGTCATCCATCCCAACCGGTGCAGGATTTCTCCGTCTGCAGTTGAGTTTGCCTTTGGGTCCTGGACCGCCAAAAAGCCCAACCAAAGCCCCGGACGACGCAATTTGTCCATTTATTTTCCATTTGAGGACCATGTGCCCATTGTTGCTGGGTCCATTGAAGTGAAGATGTTGGGTGGGAATTCTGCCTATGAACTTTTGGAGGGGAGTTCCCCTCAAGCCGCCTTTTTCTTCCCTAGTCTTTCCAGGAATCCTTTCTCCTGGACCTTCGTCCTCCTGAAAAAAAAACGTAGTTTCCGCCTTTGACTGGATATTCGGGAAATCGTAGCACTTTTTGCCGCAAAAACCTGAAACTCCTAAAACTCCTAAAAACAGACTATTCCAATGCTCGCGGCCTGTGACAGAGTAAACGAAGGTTTGCAGGGGCAAACGACTGAATGAAGCCCGCAAGTTTGTCAAAACATGCAACGGCATTCCAAAGTTGTGCGGTGCAGAAAAACCGTACCCATTTTGACCGCAAAACGCCCGCAAATTTCCGCAAAACTCCCGCAAATTTCCGCAAAACTCCCGCAAAAACCCGCAAACTCCCGCAAATCAGAAAAAGTCGTAGTTTTGATGATCAAGGCATCCCATGGTGTTCACTGGCACGTTGGCAAGTGCTGCGAGGTGTATTTACTTTGTATGGCCAATGCCCGACTGGAAACGACGCAATTCGTATGTGTTTTTGCCCAAATTGTAGCTAAACCACTGGAATTCGGTAAATCGTAGGGGTCTCCTAAAACACCCAGAAATTTCCCGGAGTTTGAAGGTCCAGGCTGAACAGAACAATTGAAAAAGAATGGGAAATCAACCCCTGGACTGTGGAAAAGAACGGGGAATCAACCCCCAGACTTTTGAATGATTTTGAGGGTGTAATGTGCGCTAGGGGTATCCAGCCTTAAGGGCTTTGGCACTCCAGGCCTGCGCCGACCAGCCATCAGGCTACCAGCAACTCAGACTGCCAGTGGTGGGCGCTACGGTCAACCGGAACCTGATGTGGGTACGGGTCAAAATTAAACCACTAGGAGACCGCAGGTTTTAGTCCTTGGTTCCATTTACCAGGGCTCCATTTAGGGTACCTATTTTTGACCCACGGCCATGTATGGTCGATGGCAGAAGACATCCATGCTACTAGTATTGCGCACCACTTGGAAACCAAAGCCATGAATTGTTTGGTATTTGCAGGGAATCAGTATTCCAGGGTTTGTTGGGTAGTCTCGTCCATCCTCTGTATCTCCCCGAATGCCAGCAACGCAAACCATCATTTTAGATGTTTGTTTGATTAAAGCTCTGCAGGAGTTAGGGATTTGGGTGGTTCCCGGTTGCTTGCCGAAACAGAAGTGCCGTGAGTCGGCTCGCTTATGTGTGTGTGTGTGCGCGCGCGTGTGTGTGTGTGTGTGTGTGTGTGTGTGTGTGTGTGTGTGTGCGGGGGTGGGGGTGGGGGTGGGGGTGGGGGTGGGTGTTGTGTGTGTGTGTGTGTGGTGTGTCTGTGTGTTTGTGTGTCTGTGTGTCTGTGTGTCTGTGTGTCTGTGTGTCTGTGTGTCTGTGTGTCTGTGTGTCTGTGTGTCTGTGTGTCTGTTTGTTTGTTTGTTTGTTTTTTTGTTTGTTTGTTTGTTTGTTTGTTTGTTTGTTTATGATTTTTTGGTGAGGGTGTGTTTAGGCAGTTATTTTGCCACATGTGCATTTCTTGGAAGTTTGTGTTGCTTTAAGAGACCTGGTCAAAACCATCGTGTCACAGTTGGCCGGCTACAATTGATGACGCCCCCTGCACCGTGCTGGCTTTGTTTTGCCATGTCATGTTTTTTGTCGTTATTGGTAGTCAAACAGTTTCAGCTGTCACCAACGGGGTTAGAACGCCTGCATCAACTGTGACCTGGTGTGGTTCCTCTAGATTGTTGGGAAGCCACCCCACTTCTCCGAACAGTCATGGAGGCAAGCTGAAGCCTTCTCTTGGTGGCTCCCAGCCATCCCCTTAGCTTTTTAGCCTTTTAGTGTGTAGCAGTAGTTTCCATTTAACCCACTAAAAGTTAAACTTTTCGCGGGGGATCTGAGGGCAGCCCAGTTATTACAACCCGCCCCGACAAAGAAAAGGGTGCGCCGATCCTCAGCGCATGCTGAGATTTCAGGTGTCCGGTGAGCTGCCTGGCTGGCTACACCTTGCAGGGCCAAGTGACGTGTGAGAGGGGCGCCTATGTGCAGTCCGGCCGGGGCCCAAACTTACCCCCGAGCGCTAGGAGGAAAATACCGAAGACTTGGAGAGCCCGACACCGTTTTTAAAACCAGGGTACACAACTTGCTTTGGTTTCCTTTGGTTTTGCTTGGAGCCAACTTTTTAGACTCTTTGGAATCTTTGGAACAACCCTGACTCAGATGGTTTAGGAGCTAGCTAAGTGGTTACTTAGTAACCTCGTGTTAGCCCCCGTCAACCTCTGTAAGCTTGTATGAGGGTTGCCCAGTTTCCATTTGGGGTTTACCAAAGTCTGGCCTTGGGGGGAGTTAACATGAATCAAATGCCCTAGTAAGGGTTTGTAGTGGTCCCGACCCAAAACCTGACGAGCAGGTGGGGGATTTGACCATCCCTGGGGTTTTCTGGGTATAATTCCTGACCGGAGGGCTGTTTCTTCAATGGATCTTGTTTGGGTTCAATTCGTCAAGCTTGGCAAATTTCGGAGTAATGCGCCAGTTGTTTGTCCCAAGACACATGTTGTTCCAGGTTTCCTTCTTGAACTGCAGGAACTGCGTAGGGGCCACTACTCTCTGCAACTCTCCGAATCCCGGCAGAATGGCCGCCAGCCAAGACTCAAACAGGCAATCCCTATGACTCCTTTGTCAGCTTGAAGCGGATTTCCCTGGCTCTCCTCCATGCCTATTTCATGTTTTCAGGTAGATGGAGCAGAGTGAGCAGAGTCATCGGATTTTCTGTTTGCCCCAGACATGGCTGGAGTTTTGTTTCACGGAACATGCGCCCCAAAGTCTCACTCATTTCCCACAGGCGCAGCTCTGAGACTCTGTTTCTGCACTTTCAGGCCCTGTGGCTGTTTGTTTTTTTCCAGCCAACGGCAAGTCAAGGTTTGTTTGATACTTTGATTGTTTCTGGGGGTTGTCAAAGTCAGCTTCCTTCTAACATACCACTTCGGGGTTGACTTTGATGATAAAACAATGTGGCCAGTTTGGATGTGAACCATTGTGTCCTGTCCTGCCTGAAGCGACCGTGCTTGCAGAGAATTGCTCACTCAATACGTGGGAGGCAAGCAATCAAGGGGAAACTGTGGATCACTGGTGCATGTCTGTTGGATTTTTGACTAATTATTTGGGTTGTCCACTGAAAATGGGCATGTTAAACACCAAATGGTTTCCAACCCACGTCTTTCCGATTTCCTTTTTTTGTTTGCGCAATGTCCCCACCTAACATGACAGACGTACTTGCCCAAAGCTAACCTTTTCACCTTTTGGTTTCTCCATTTTGGCTAGCCCCAAAAGGTGATCACCTTGTATTTCTGGGTCCAAACGGCAACCGAGCTTACTTCCATTTGCTTAAGAATACGTTTCATTAAAACCCTTGGTGAGTTTAAAGGGAATCGATTTCACTACTGGACATATGTTGTTTTTTAATATGTCTTGTTCCCCTTGCTGGGTTTAAAGGCATTCGATTTCACTACTGGCCATATTTTACTGTTTCACTACTACTAGATCAACAACGGGTCTCCCAGCCCTTTCTGGCTCGCGACATATGCTATTCTTTCTAGCGAACCGGGTCTCCCTTTCTGGTCGGCTCGCAGCGTCGACTCCCTGGAGCAGAGGCCTGGGCTGTGTGTCCTCCGCGGCGGGGAGCACTCGAAGCCAAGTGGCGCCATGGCCAGATCTTTGCGGTTGCGGTTGCTAGTTACTTTGTTGTGTTTTGTTTTGTTGTGTCGTGTTTTGTTGCGTCTTGTGTTGTCGTGTTTTGTTTTGTTGTGTTTGTTTGGTGTGTTTTGGTTTGTTGTTGTTTTTGCTTGCTTGCTTGCTTGCTTGCTTGCTTGCTTGCTTGCTTGCTTGCTTGCTTGCTTGCTTGCTTGCTTGCTTGCTTGCTTGCTTGCTTGCTTGCTTGCTTGCTTGCTTGCTTGCTTGCTTGCTTGCTTGCAATGTTTGCAATGTTTTGTTGTGTTGTGTTGTGCTTTGTTGTATTTTAGTTTTGTGTGTGTGTGTTTGCTTGCTTGCTTGCTTGCTTGCTTGATTGCTTTGGTTGCTTGCTTTGGTTGCTTGCTTGCTTGCTTGCTTGCTTGCTTGCTTGCTTGCTTGCTTGCTTGCTTGCTTTGTTTGTTTGCCTGTTTGTTTGATTGATTGATTGCTTGATTGACTGATTGATTGATTGATTGATTGATTGATTGATTGATTGACTGATTGATTGATTGATCGATCGATCGATCGATTGATTGATTGATTGATTGATTTATTACTTGTTTGTTTGTTTGTTACAAATTGTTTGTTTGTGTGTTTGCTTCTTTGTTGTTTGTTTGTTTGTTTCTTTGTTTGTTTGTTTGTTTGTTTGTGCTGTTTCATGCTTTTGATGTTTTATTTTGTTGTTTGTGTTTGCATTTTGGCTTTTGGGTTCTGCCTGTTGTATTGTGCGTTTTTTTTGTTTTTGTGTGTGTGTGTGTGTTTTTTTCCGGGATTTGTTGCGCTGTTTTGTGTTGCTTTCCCTGTGCTTCCAGGTATCATCGTTTGCGACCAAGAATTACCAACCATCAACAAAGAGAATCAAACCAGCTGGCAGCCTACTATGGCTTGCAACTCGGGTTTCAAGGCTTCGCTATCCCTTTCAACCGTCAAACCTTCGTCAATTTTTTCCTGCCCAGGTGCTAGGGAAATGGACCTCAGTGTCCTCCTCGGCGACCTCGCTGCGAGGCCTCTTAATGGCGTTTGGGGGTGGGGGCGTTGGGGGCGTTGGGGGCGTTGGGGGGGGGGGGGGGGGTTGGGTGTTGGGGGGTTGGGGTTGGGGGTGAATGTTTGGAGAGGGGATGGGAGGGTCGGCGGGGCTTTGGGAAACCAGGCTAAGAGAGCTGACCTGTTACCGCCTTTTTGACCCTTTGGACAAACTGATGCGTACAAAATGACAGTTTCCATCAGGGTTGTGGAAATGAGCCGAATAGTTTGCACTGGATACCTTCTAGGAACCGTTGCCCCTTTCAGATAGATGAGTTGTACCAGCCATCCCCACTATCCTTGTGGAGAAACAGCGGTCCTGAGCCTCGTAGGCCGAGCGGGAGCGGCTGTGCACGCAGCCCTGACGCTGGACTCTGAGCTGACAGCCTTCGGCTTGGGCGTGCAGATGGCGGCGGAGGCGTGCAGCGAAGGAAGAGCGGGTCGGGGGAGGCGACCCGGCGGAAATGGCCGGGTTTCCCCAAAAGATGCGCTCCATGCAAATTTGAAACGGGAAGAAGGACCCTTTGATGGATAACATTTTGGGGGATTCATGTCCACCAACCACTTTTCAGGGTCTATTAAATCTCGCAGCCCAGTTTTGCTTGTTTGTTTAAGGAATATGGGAATGAACATCCCGGCCAGTCACAAGAAAGCAAGAGTGGTAAGGGGGTCCTTGCCAAATTGTCTAAGATCTTCACTGATACAATGAACACACATAGGTGTCCTTTTTGGTTGGTTGGGTTGAAACATAGAGGGCGATTCCTGGTTTGCCTGATGGTTCAATCATCTACCTGGGAAATCCATCTATTTTCCAAAAAGGACACCTATGTGAATATACTTTAGGGTCGACAAATGAAACTGAACATATTTATCTCGATGGCCCCAGTGGGCCAGCTGGGAGGCTGGGGTCTCGTCTTGTGCTTCCAGTTGCCGCAGGTAAGTGTGGCCAGCCTTTGCAGAACAACTAAGCTCCCCCCTCAAAAAAAAAACAAAAAACAAACGAACAACCAAACACACAAGCAAGTAGTTGTTATTGCTGTTCCAAGTTTGCCATTTGTCCACTTTGGTTGCAGTAGTTCATGTCTTGTTCGACCAAGCATCGCTTCTGCGTTTCTGTTCAAATATGCCACCCATATCGTCACGTCCTCCATCCAAACAGCAAAATTTGCCAAGCAACCACAGATGTCAACCAAGAATGTCAACCAACAGGGTTTCCTCTACTTCCCTGTTTTACATCCCCAAATGTGACGCTCGTTTCAACGGACACCCCCAGTAAATTGATAAACTTTTCAAGGGGAAATGTGACCCCTGACCATCTGCCGCGCGCAGTTCGCCTGGGGTGACTTGCCTCTGGCGCTGCTCGCAGACTCCCCGCTGCCACCACACCTTGCGCTGCGCTCGGCGGCGGTGGTGGCGGCGGCATTGTCTGCGGCGAACAGCTCGTTTTCGGATGCCGGGGGTCTTGGGGGTAGGGATGGCGTAGGCCCACAAACCCGGGGCTATCGGGATACAGCCACTCTACAGAAAGGTGTATCAAGTGGCCTCTGACTCAATGGTTTCCTCAGTTGTTCAAAGCTGACCTTTTGACCTTTTGGTTTGTGCAAGTTTGGGCCCGTATTTAATCACGGCCCCAAAAGCCTAATGAGTTGCAGGTGCTTTGGGCAACTGAGGGCTCCGCGCTGCGCTGGAGGCGTTTCTTTGGATTGGTTTCCTGCAGGTTCACTGGAATCACGGGTGAATGTGTGGTTTGGCTCATTTTGGGGATACCCAAAAATCCGGGTCTCCTGGAACCAGCACCCAATCAAATGCTTCTTCAAAAAGCAGACGTTGGGGGCTATCGATTCCAGGACCGATTCGAACCAATTCGCCAGAGGCGGGGGCTCCAGAAAAGACCTGCCGGGCCTCGACTTCCAAGCCCAACATGTTCCGGGATCCTCAAATTGTCCGAAGCGGATGTTGCCCTATGAATTCATTCCCCTTTTCAAACGTAGTTTGAGGGTGATGTTTGTTGGAGGATATTTGCTTGTTGGTTGTTTCTTGGCTCGTCGGCTCCAGAATCCGAAGGGTGACGACCCCATCGGCCTGCGGTTGACCAAGCCGAGACCCGATCGGTGCGACCACTCAGCAGGTCTCCAACAAAGCCAGCAACCTGCAAGGCACATCAGGCCAAGAGCCCCAAAACGGCCACAAGCCATTTCGCTTGTATTTAAACGGGCCGTTCTATTGTTCTCCGCTCCTTACATTACCACATGCAGGTCTCGGTGTCCCTTCTGGAGCTTGCGCTCTATCACCTCGACATGGACAGCGCCTGGTCCAACTTCTCCTTGGGCCTCAGCCTGGCGAGCGCCGTGGCCGAAGATAAGGCTGTTGGGATTCAGACCCAAATGGCGCAACGGCTTTCCTCGTGCTTTCCCTGCAAACCAACCAAAAAGGGGTGCATTAAAAAGAAAGACAGCCAGAAGGATTCTGCTTCAAAACCAACCAAGGGGTGCCTTAAAAGAAAGACAGCCAGAATGAAGTTTGGGTGGCGGTTTCTGGAGGCCGTTCTAGCCGATTGCTTGCGTGACCGTGATACCAAAATCAGGGACAGCCAGAGCAATCCTGAAATCTCTTGGCTTGCACAAGGGATGGACATGGATTGACTGACAGCTTCATGTTGAGCAACCCAATCACCAAGCGGCATGCATGGTGAAGACACGCCAGAAATTGGGGCAGGGTGAGCCTTAGAAGGGGCGGAAAGGACATAGAATAATTTGCGAGTCTCCAGTTTGTTCTTCTTCTTTTTTTCTGAGAGTTTGGCTGAAGCGACCATAGACTGATATGTTGACTTCGAACCTCACGCCATATCTCCAGATGTCCATCAGGGGCACCCTGGGGCCCTTCTTGCTTGGCTCGAGGTGTGGACCGAATCAATGCACTGCTCTCTTCGGGCATTTCCGGCCTCTCCCCCCGGCAGCAGATGCATCTTGGGTGAAACAAAGCGACGGGAAGAGCCGGAACTTCTGATGGCTTCTGTGTGTCTCTTGTGTGGGGGGGGGGGGGATTGTTTGGGTTTTCACCCTGGGTTGTGAAGGGAATCCGTCACTACTGTAGCGGGCCAACTTGTTTCAGGGGACTTAAGCAACTAGGGAACTTGAGCAAATGGATTTTTGGGATGGTTTTGAAGGGAAGCCAAAGCCCCAATTGCCGACCCCAAGTGCTGTTTAAGAGTTGCCGGGAATGACAGGGCTCCCGATTGATGTGTTTGTTTGGCGGTGGGGGGGGGGGGCCGGGCAAAGGGGCCGCTGTTTTTTTGTTAGGGGCGGGTTTCCCTTTAGCCAAAAAGTAGCTGTCCCTAACAGGCACGCATCCACATGGGTTCGTCCACTTAGTGATCCGACAAACCAAGATATATTTCATCAGTTCCAACCCCGGTTGCGCAGACTCAAAATCATGGCACAAGGGTAGACAAATCGCAGGAAAGTGTGAACCTACTTTCTACCCGCTGATCATTTAGCTTGTAGCAACCCGGTTTCACCTCAAAACTTTTTTTTGTTTCATCGGAAACTGGTGTCTTTTTGAGAGGAGTTCTTTCTAGCTAGGGCAATGTGTGAATCGCATCGAAGCCTGTGAGCAATTATTTGGATGTCCACCCTACTTGATCAGTGGTTAATATCCGAAGCTTGAAAATCCCTGAAGTGTGACTTCCCCCTACATGTTTAACTCGGGACGCAAGCCTCGATCTTGGCTGGGTCAGCGTTTGGCAACCTCTTAGATCTTGGCTCTCAATTTAATAACCTAGGTCCCGCAGTAGTGCCCTTTTGCCCTTTTTGGGGGAGGGTTCCCCTACTAAAATAGACTACAGCAAAAAGGTTGGTACCCTTATTCTAACCTCTTCTAACCTCTTCTAACCTCTTCTAACCTCGTTACTGGAGGACCTAGTAACGAACCAAGAAAACATCAGGCAGACGCGGGCAGTGCGCGCCGCAGAGCAGCCGGGTGCTGCCGCCGTAGCTGCGTCTGGCATCTCTGCCGTGGATGCGGAGACGCTTGGTGTGACCGATCTGTGGTTGACGCCCTAAGTGTTCTGCAAGGGAACAAGGGAAGCCTTATTCTTATCGTTCTTATTGTCCTATATTCATGAGATTTGAAGTGTTGCCAATTGTTAACCAACAGAGACAAGGTCGCATTGTCCGTATTTTACCCATAGTTTTGTGACTGGATGTGGCTTGCAATAGGGCATCCACTGCCATCCCTCTGGCGATGTTCCTGCTGCCCGAGGAATCCAGCAGAAGCTTTGTCAGCTTTTGCAACTCGTTCTCGCGGCATTTCGCCACGATGTGTTCCTTTTGGTTCAAGGATGGTTCTCTTTATTTTTGGCATCTTCAGATCCGATTAGGATGGTTCTCTTGGTGACCTGTACGTGAAATTCCTTGAGGCGATCGAACAAACCTTCACTACTTCCCCACCAGCAAGCGGTTTAGGAACAATTGAAAGTTCAATGGAAGGCAACCTACCTAGGCCTAGCCGAAATAGGGACCTGCTTTGCAAAGAATGCCCATATGACCAAAGAACGACTGCCCGAGCCTGGGGGGCCACATATAACTTGGCCCTGCTAAAATGGTGCAAGAGCCTCGGATGGCCATGTGATCTTCATGTTCCAAGTGACAGCAGCGGCAAAGTCACGTCGCCGGGGAATCAGAACTGTCTCAGCCTCTAGGCGATGCAGGCCTGGGGTTCCGAACCAAAACCGACAAGGCGAAGCACCCAGGTTGAAATCTACCTCGAGTTTGTAAAAATGTGGCATTCTGGGCCATCCAGACTTCAAGGTGCGAGCAACTCAGGCGCCCTCCAGACCAAATGTAATTGTAGGCCTGGTGCTTTTGAGCCTATCCTTTCTGGGGTTGGTGGAAAGGGAAAGCAAAGGGAATGCCACAATTGTGTGGGGTCCGAATCCCATTTTGTGACACACCACTGTGTACCAACACGTCCCAGACACCCAGCGTCGCCCTTTTTTGTTCCTGTTTTTGGAGGGATTTGTGAACAACAGCTACCAAAGAAACAGAGTCTGCAAATGTCTGCAATGTTTAGGGGACACCCGACATCAAATCAACCAGGGGTTCTGCTTCATCCGGATTTCTCAAAGAGGTTGAGCACTTTTTCCTTTCCCCTTAAACCAACACGGGATGGCTCCGGGTGGATCTGACCCAGGCGCCTGGCCTTGCGCGGGATCTTCGATGGCGCCCTGTGGGCCAACGTCTCGCCCCACTCCGCCGCCCAAGACGCCGCCTTCGCGCAGACCGCTGTGCCGCTGGGCCTCGTCAAAGCGCGTCGCCAAGATGCGGAAAACGTCTCGGGGGGGGGGGGGGGGAATGGGTGTGTTGCACCTGTTGTGTATATAGAACTTTCTGGCTTCTATGGTTAAAGTGGTTGCGGGTTGGGTTTTGAAGGTTTGTCTTTAAAGCTGAAGTGTGGTTTTCAAAGTTACTGTTGGGTCCTACTGGTGCCCCTTCAAACCACCATGTGGAGTGCAATCCCTTCCAACCAATAGCAAAAAAGACCTCCCCCAACAAAATAATGTTCTGGGGACAAACAAGTTGTATTACCGTCCCCTCTTTCAGATTTGGGTTGCGAGTTCCCCGTGTTTTTTTGACTTCTGCGTAGGCTCGGTGATTTGTAGGTCTGGCCAGAGGGCGCCCAAATAAGACTGGAGCAGAGGTGGGTGGGAGAAGTCGCTAGGTCAGGCCTATTGGAATTTAGTCTCGGGGACGCTGGGCTTTTGAAGAAACACACCTTTGGGGGACTTGGAAGAAGACACCTCGAGTTTTTTTTGGGAGGGTAGAGCTGAATTTCGAGGATGTAACTTTGCCTGCACTTATAACTTCAGCCAGGGCATTGTGTTACCAAAGCTGAGGGAGCGGCATTGTTCTTTGATGTTTTTTTGGAGCCAAGTCCTGGAGATGGGATGGGCACGCTTTAGGTCTGTAATCGCATGGTTTCTGCCAACATCAAACAGTCGCTGTAAATGAACCGCTGCACTCGGGTTTCACCCCAAAAACTCGTTTTTAGATGAACCTCCAGGCAATTTGCAGGGCAGTATAGGGGCTAAGCCATGATGTAAAGCAACAAGAGCCAGGGCCAGGCCATGATGCAAAGCAACAAGCTGCAATACTTCCCAACCTTTGTGCCGTCAGCGTGGTCAGAGTATGTCAAACTGAAAAAAACACCAGAAGCAAACTGGAAAGCCTGGTCTAAATGTCTCCCGCTTTGTTGAACAGGGCCTTGTTGGTCTTTGGCAAGCTTTTGTTGGGAGATCCATAGGCGGATTGGCTGGGGACAGAGGGTCCAATCTTTTTGTTGATTGAGCAGATTTCTGGTAGTTGGTTAGGGTCGATTCAGGACTGGTTTTGGATGGGCTTCGGTTGATTTTAGCTGGTTTTGGGTTTAGTGCCTTTTGGGTGGCATTTCTTTCTGGCGGGGATGCTCAGGGACCTAACCCAGTGCTTCTAGCTGTGGCAACAGTTAAACACAGGGCTCAAACATGGTAGCCTACCAAGTTACCCTATTTCCCAAGACTGGTCCTTCGTGTCAAGTTTCTGCCCATCGCCCTAAGTGGGTGTGCGGACATTTCTGCAAACAAGGCTAAGTCGTTGTTCGTGGCCCCGCACGATTTGGCCGTTAAAACGCGGCAACTAGCACAGCAAATGGCTGAATGCCCCACACCTGCCACGCGCGGTCAAACTCCAGTTTTATCGCAAAGCCAGGATTGATTGGTAATTCCTGTATTTAAGGGACTCAAAGTCGATTCCCCACTGGGAAAGAGCGTTGCAAAATCAGAGGCCCGAAAAAAAAAGGGAAAGACAAAAAGTTGTGTGTTGATTTGTTTGTTGTGGAACCAGCAGCTAAACAAGCCACGGCCTTAAGTCGCGGCAGCAAGCCAACACTCCGCAGAAAGCCCGCTGTGTTATACCGGAACATGCTAGAGAACACGGAGAGCTCCCAAGTGCGGTGGTTCGCCGCTTAAATGGGGGGGTAGACGGTGATACCATGGAACTGGCTGATGTTCGAGAGTGGCAGTTGCAGCGAAAACAACATAGGCTGCAAGGTAGTCTGCGCGCGTGCGTGCGTGCGTGCGTGCGTGCGTGCGTGCGTGGGTGGGTGGGTGGGTGGGTGGGTGGGTGGGTGGGTGGGTGGGTGGGTGGGTGGGTGGGTGGGTGTGTGTGGGTGTGTGTGGGTGTGGGTGTGTGTGGGTGTGGGTGGGTGTGTGTGTGTGTGTGAGCAGCGTGCTAGACCGCGCACGCAAACTTTTCTCACTGCAGGGGGTAGCGGCAGATCATTTGTTGGCCCGCTACCAACGAAGATGCAAATTTGATCTGGTTATATGCAAGCTTGGCCACGCCTGCCGACCTTTCTTGTTGCACCTGTTGACCCGGTGTGTGTGTGTGTGTGTGTGTGTGTGTGTGTGTGCGTGCGTGCGTGCGTGCGTGCGTGCGTGCGTGCGTGCGTGCGTGCGTGGGTGGGTTGGGTGGGTGGGTGGGTGGGTGTGTGTGTGGTGTGGTTTGTGTGCGTGCGTGCGTGCGTGCGTGCGTGCGTTGCGTGCGTGCGTGCGTGCGTGCGTGCGTGCGTGCGTGCGTGCGTGCGTGCGTGCGTGCGTGCGTGCGTGCGTGCGTGCGTGCGTGCGTGCGTGCGTGCGTGCGTGCGTGCGTGCGTGCGTGCGTGCGTGCGTGCGTGCGTGCGTGCGTGCGTGCGTGCGTGCGTGCGTGCGTGTGTGTGTGGGTGTGTGTGTGTGTGTGTGTGTGTGTGTGTGTGTGTGTGTGTGTGTGTGTGTGTGTGTGTGTGTGTGTGTGTGTGTGTGAAGCGTCCTGGAGCACGGACGGAAATTCCACATTGCAGGGGGACACAGCACTTCACTGGGACTGTGTCCAACGAAGCTACCAGTGAAGTGGGATATCCAGCTTGGCCAGCTGGACGTACCTGCCTTTCCTTCTTTTTCCTGACTGTTTCTCTGTCCTGTTCGCTGTTGCTTCCCGGTTTCTGTTCTGCATTGTGATCTGTCAAGCAATTTCAGCAGTTGCAGGTTTTTCCAACCTTTGCATCTCGGCTAGTGAAGCCTCTCGAGATAAGTGTGTTTACCCACGGCCTGTCCGACATGGCGCTGTGGGCTGGACTCGCCACATGCGGGAGCCCCCTGCGAGGGGAAGACCGTTCAAGTGTTCAAATTCAAGCTGCAGTTCAGTTCAGCGCGTTTGACCACGATCAAGGCTGCAGCTTGAGGTCTTAAGGTATTCCGCACCCAAATGGTGCTCTGCTGGTTTCATGCGCGTTGCACTGCCTGCACTGCCTGCCTTTGAAGCAAGGCTGCACCCACGAGGTTTCAGGTTCCTAAGCTTCATGCGCCAGTGACGAGTTGGTCATACACCAACTCTGCAATTCGTGGTGTTTATGGAAGCTTTCGTCTCGGATGAGTTCAGTTCAGATTCATCGGCATAGCCACATGAGGCATTTTCATGAGGCCACTTGACAGGCACCTCTGAGAACCCCTTTGTGCTCGCATGCATTTGCACCATTGACGCATTTTTGCTCGCATGCATTTGCACCATTTGCGTCCCTCGAAATTCTTTTGCTGTTGCCGCGGGGTTTCTTGCGGTCCCCTGGTGGAATTCCCTCTGCTTGGTTTTGTGTGCTCGGGTTTGTCGTCTTTGAAAATTTTTTGCCGTTGCCGCGGGGTTTTTGGCGGTCCCCTGGTGGAATTCCCTCTGTGTGGTTTGTGTTCGCGGTTGTGGGGTTCGGTGTTGTGTCGGCTTGACGCATTTTTGCCGCAGTTGTGGTTTTGTTTCACCCCTTTCCAACCTTCTCTCTCCCTTGCGAGATGGCTGGACACCAGCTCTATGACATGATGCATTCGCTCCTGCACAGCATTGCGACCGGCACCGCGTCCGGCTCACCAGGCAATTGTGGACCGAACTTGCAGCTGTCATCCCAGATGACGCAGCCCATGAACCTTGTACCGTCACCCAACTCGCAGACGGCATCCTTCACACCTTTCCCCATGATGCCCTACGGCGGCCTCTCGAACTTTGGCAACCCGATGGCCATGATGCCCTACGGTGGCCCTCCCAATTACGGCAACTTGGCACCTGGCACCATCATGCCTTTCATGACTCAGAGCAGCATGCCATCTTCACTGCCCGAGCCTCAGCCGGCGCGCGCGCCCGAAGCTGCCGCTGCGGCTCCTGCCGCTACCTCCTCAACCAACCACCCTCCCCCGGACACTCGGCACCATCCCCACTCTCGCAGATCCCGTTCCCGCCACAGACAGCACCGACACTCCCACTCCCACACCAGCCACCATCGCAGGCACAACAAGTCGCACCGACGACACGACACCCGACGATCCCGCAGCTACAGCAGGTCACGTTCCCTTTCCCGACACTTCCACCACTCCCGACGTGCACACCACTCCACTGTCTCCCTCCGCTCCCGCTCCCCCCGACACAGGTCCCACCATCGACACTCCCCTGCACCCAGAGCCACGACTTCGCACCGACCCACTCACACTACTCATGATTCCACCTCCTGGCGCACTTCCGGGAAGGATTCCAACAAGTCTCAATGGTCCTCCTCACACTGGCGGAACCAATCGTGGGGATACCCACCACAGAACAAAAACCGCTGGGACATGCACCACCATGGCGCCAGCCACACCGGCCACCGAAACAACCAGGACAAACGATCGTCCTGGTCACTGCAGCACCATGGGCAGCAACCCCACCCCACTTCCCGCACCGGCCACCACAACACTAGCTTGCCCCCTCACCCAGCACCTGCGGCGGCCTTCACTTCCACTCCCCCTCCCCCTCCCCGACCCACGCCGGCTACTCCTCACCCTCCCCAACCCCCCTTCGACAACACCGGTGATTTGGATCCCCCTCCATCGGAGGCGGACATCAATGCCACCACCACTTCCGACAACCGGTGGCTTGATCTATGGAGAAACGTCATGGACACGGCCAAGACTGACCCGCTGCGAGTTCCCACGCCTAGGGAGTTGGGGGAGCTGGACCCGCTTCCAGCCTTGGACATCTCCAGGGTGGAACAGACTAAGGCCATTTTGATGGACCTGGACCCTGCTTTGCCACCTTCACATGCCGATCTCCTCGCGGAATGCTGGGAACTGCGAACCATGGACACGGATGATCCCATACCGTTCGATCCCAGCTTCTACCACCTCTTGGGACGGGAATCACACGGCATGGTGTTCGCAACCACTTGGTTTCCCCGACCTCATCCTTGGCCAGTTGCTGGCG